GGTGCCCTGATTGCAACCAATCAGCTACTTCATTAAAGGCAGAACCCGCGATTATTCGCCATCTCAGATAGTGGGTTAGGGGGTTCCATATAGACGACAAGGGGTTGAGTAACTCGACAGTGAAGAAAAAAGCACAAAAAACATGCCACCTGCCCTAGATAGAACCCCATTTTGATCCCAGTTTGTACGTGCCCAATTAACTCTATCTCCCACACTACGCCCTCATACGCACAGCTGATTCACCGATAACAAGTGACGATTTTCAGGCCGTGGTGAGCTTTTTCGTCCTGCAATCTCATTTTTCACTGAAAGCCGGTCATTGGAGGCGGAGTCTGGAGGCGGAGTCACTGGAAAAAGGAGGAGCCACTGAACCTATATTGCGCTATAGCGCCCCTCCCATAGAATTTTTTGCCGCGAAACCGGTACAAGGTTGTTCGTCGCGGACCACTCTAACCTCCTGACGCCATATTTTCAACTTCGATACCTGATCGTGCCTTCAATGTCACACAAAATGAAACTGGTATGATTTGATGGAGCATCACATTGTCCGTATGAACGATCAACTTCCTTTTCCCATGTAGGTGGGAAGACGATTATCTGTCTTGCCAAGGAACAATTGCTCTTCACTTTTTACTTCCGTTACAGAGGAATGGAAGAAAGCGATTGTTTGTGAAGTTCAAAAGGTGGAGATAGTTGGCACAATTTGTCTTCATTGCAGACCGTGTCGTCAGGGCATGCAGAACAAGCTGGTCCTGTATTGTAGATCTTCTGGCCGAGCGATCCTCTGGAAAGGTGGAGCATCATACTACTGACCAACAGAGAAGCGAGCGAGTTGCTTAATCAATGTCCAGATTTGTATGAGGCGAGAAAGATCCCGAGAGCTAGCCACTTTACTCTAATCGGCTAAATCTCGATGGAAAGAAAAAACGTAATGGAATGGGTGAGGCCAACGAACCCGGTCTGGTAGTGACATACTACACTCCAGTTCGGATCGCAAGAAACAACGGCGCAGCCAAAGTGCTGGGTGGTTGCCCATGCCATCTGCAATTTACAATATACGTCACCTTCAATATGGAAAGAAATTAGATATCAAGAAGTGGAAGAATTGATATTGTAGTCATATCTCCAGCAACAATGCAAGAAGGGATTTTTCTTCTAACTTCACAACAAATTTCACCTTGATGAACCATTCTGTTGGCTTGCCAACATTATATTGCGTATAAGTGACACCTTGTCCAATGCCACCAGTCACTCTTATTTGGCTCCACCACTGTTTTACAGCCTGAATAATGGTTTTCTGTTCTTTGGTGTCTTGGCCGCGTCATGTGTTGTTATATCGACCTACCACAACGATGGCGTCCTTTTCAGAACCGGCTTGGCTCTTCGAGAACAAATGAACGTTTTCATGTACACCATCAGGGAGACTCGGGGAGTTCGCAGAAGAACACCTTGTTTGTGCTGAAGTGGCCGCACTAGCTTCTAGTGTGCAGTTGTATTCCTGAAAAACGGATATGTAAATATAAACAAGCGATGAAGTCGCTGCGGTCAAAAACAAATCTGAATATCTATGAATATAAAATACCAGTCTCAACATGTTAGTTGCGGAGGGCAAATTTCTTCCAGCCTTATTCTTAACTTCTCCTCTTGCGAGTCTTCCTCTAAAAAGGATGAACCCTTTTCCGCAATGTTTTGCGATGGCAATAGGATTGCTCCTTGGATTTGCTCTACCTGCGATAATTATGTGCACTTTTTGCCTGTACCCTCGTAGCGTCAACCATTCCAGAGTTGGCTGGGCAAATCCGGTTGTTCGGCTCTGAAAAAAATCTTGCGCGAAGCATTTTATACAAATGTGTTAGCTTGTGTAACTTATACAGCCTATGGCTTGTAAATATTCGGCTTTGCCCGTTTCCACACTTTCTTTTTATCTGTTCGGAAGTTCGGTATTACACGATAAGCCATTTAATTGGTTTGCATCAGGTTTGGAATGGATAGGGTGTAGCTCAAGATGCACGGAGCACGCATGAAACGAGCTAAGTCTCTTTCACTATACCTGTACATAGTTATGCGCCATATGTGAATGGTGACAAAGGCAAAAGCTACAGATTAAATACTGGATAGCCCAGAGCGGTTACTCGGAAAGGTTCGTAAAGGTCGGTAAGGGTAGCGGGATGAAATGGGGGAGACACTGGCGACAATTGTGTAACTTGGGTTTTATGAAAAATGGAGAACAACAAATGGGGCAGATGACATGAGGGACGCGCACCTTCAGTAAGCGGGTCGCGCATCGACACGGACGACCTTCCCCAATAGAGGGCCACTGACGGACCGGTCTCACTTCAAGGATTCGTGGATTGTTTCCGAATAATTTCACAGAGAGGTTGAACTTTGACGAAAACGAGTGAGTTGTTTGCTTGTGGAATGAGGGAGAGTCACCTGCTGTGACCGGAGATGCCCTAAAACGGGATGCGTAAAAAACCCAGTACTTCAGATTTGGAACTCTCCAGGCAAATTTGAAATTTGCCTGAAATTTGATGAAGGCGAACAGTGCTTTGCCGACTGAGATGAGAGGGATCAGGGCACAACATCGTTGGGGACTCTCCGAATGGGGGGGGGATCGTGTTCGATCTCTGGGGAAGGGTAGGAGGTCCAATTTGCGCAGTTTTTCCCGTTTCACATGTCCTATAGGCTCCCCCCCCTACCCTACACCCCCACCCATCGGCTCGAATCAGAGGAGGAAATCAGGGAGTCGTATCAAGCCACCTTTCACTAAAGAGGGTCGCACGGACTCGTCCAAATCCCTAATCAATGATGTGCCCTGAGAGGAAACAGATTCCATTGCAATCCTAAGCTACCATTTTTTTCTGGCTCTGTGCGATGGAGGGTTGACGTGCAATGGATCACATCCTAAGTAGTTAGTGCAGAGATTTGAAGTTAAGACTGTATGCAATCATATCGATCGAAGCTAGCCTAAAATACCGGACCGAAGCAGGTGATTCCCGGCCTAAGACATCGCATAGTTTCGCGATGTAGACAATGCCTCGCTCCTTCATACAGACAAGTTGAGATGTTTGATTTCTAGCATTCCTTTGTTGTGCGTACTGGGGTGCACCGTCCCCAGATAGAGATTGATAGCGGTGAAAGAGCTTAGCTGGTTCTTGCTGATGATTTGAGATGAGCCGTTGACAAAGCGGCCGTATGCATGAATGCCTCCCCTTTGGTCACGTAGTTTCAACTGTCAATTGAAGTTGCATGTGAAAACCCTGATTTCCAACGGTAAGAGTCATTAAAATATCTTAGATGACTTATGGCGACAAAGTTGTTGTACTATAGATTTTTAAACCAACGAGGAGCAACAGTGGTAGTAGTCGGTTCTGTTGTGGTCGCTGCCTCTTGTGGTAGACGGTGCCTCAGGTTGTGGGTGGCATCGTTGTTGTGTGATCCGATGTCGCTGTTGCCCCTTGTGCCTGCCCTTGAACCACGATGGTGCACCTTTGAAAGCTGCTTTTCCTGGTTAGCAGTACAGGCACTTACGATTTGAAGACTCACCATCATTATAACGAATAAAGGCAATAGAACACACGACCTCATATCCAAGCGTGATGCCACCCGTTTGCATCAGCTTTTATAAGGACGAACTGACAAGAGAACCTTTCATGAATTTTTGAAATGAATGATGAATGTTTTCGATTTTTTGAATTCACTAAATTTGTTCCTACGTACCATTGTGAAAAACTACGAATAACACAGTACTTTTTCCTTTTCAGGAACAGTTCACGTGGCAGTTAGAAATGTCACTGTCAAATTCAAAGCGAGTAGTGACCTTCGGGGCTAATAGACTGGTAAACCAAGGAAATATGCCAAGTTGCAGTTCGTATTTGATTGAGCCGGTACCGTCAGGAGGTGGTTTTGAGTTAAATAACCATTGTGGTTATCATTGTTGCGGCACAAATCCAATATGGAAGAGCTTATCCAAAACTTATGTTAACTACCACCCCCTTTTGACTCGTATTTTTTTATATGCGCTTACCTTGCACTGCGTCTCCGAGAACGTGACCTAAACAAATTGCGAGGCAACGTTCCAACCAGAAACTCTATGCAGTCAAGTCGTGGTACTGAAACCCCAAATATGAACCCAGTGATATCTATTTACCACTGAATTGGAACGCAGGCGCCAGCAAAAAAAGCCCTTTCAATTTTCGGCACTAGACGAGTCCGTCATAGTGATTGCTGCTGAAGTGGAAGATAAAAGAAAAGGACGGAGGAAAAGAAAGGACGAGCGAACGACAGATACGACCCCACACGGTCGCGATAGCGTTCCCTTTCATATGCGATCGTCCTTCGCTGGATAGCTTTGCTTCCGATTACTGGCGCTTCTGGGTTATGACGGCCTCGGCTTTCTCGTCTTACCCCTTCTGAAAACAAACGCGAAAACACTTCAAATTTCAAAAGAGGGTGATCTACGATCTATCTAAGAGGAAGTTCTACGGAACGGAGAAGTAGCACTTCAGCAGGAGACCGTCCGCCATCGCTGAGAAAGAAGAACTCCCACACGCGCACAAGCAGAGAATCTACGCATGAGCTAGCCACGAAATGTGTCCTCAATAACCATTTATCGCGGACTGCGGCTTGCACTTTTTTGACGTAATCGAATGAGGAGGTGAGATACGTATTGACCTCAATTCATCAACGCTGTCTACGTTTTCATTGCTTTGATGTCGGATCAGTGCCTGTCTGATCTCTTCAGCGTTGCTAACGTCGATTATTTTGATTACGTCAGAAACTTCAATTGCCTTGACTATGTACCTAGGGACGATGTGTGCACTTGCCATGTGTACCACAACTTATTCTTGGAAATCGTCGTTGGTGCGAGGTAGGAACGCAACGTAATTGTGAAAGTGACGTATCAGGGGCCAGATTGGACCTTTTTTTGATTCTTTACATCACGCATGTCGCATGTCTTCTTTATAGTGCCTCTCCGGTGTAACAGAATGGTGCCCCCACTCTCAGTTATGGCCGAAGAACTCAAAGAGGTCATTTGTGAGACGGAACGTGGTATTTCACCTTTTTTTTGTTCGCTATGTTTCAGGGTGCAGAAAAGGGGCAGTTCGATGGGGCAACGTTAGTACCGTGCGTGGGTTCAGTATACAGGATTTTTTATACGCAATAAAAACGCCGTGCTGTTTTCCAACAGCCATCGAATGCCACGCTGTCCCATGCCAGTCAAAACACCGGGTTATTGCTTGACTCAGATGCTCTATGTGAAAAGGCCTGTAACATCGTTTGACCTTTGTTCTTATCAGTTCCCAATTTGTCTAGGAGATAAATCGCTCGCTTCGCTGGAGGCCATGTAGGTCAGGGTAGTGCTTAGACCACTTCCAGAATGCACTTTTGATGAGGGAGCCATTCTGGGCCTTGACCAAAGGATCCTGCGAGGGAAGCGTGCTTTTTATCACTGTTGCACCTCTGCCCTCTTCCTAATCAGAGTACAGCATCGTTGTGTGGAACACATAGCGGGGTCGTACTTTTCCGCTGGAAAGGGGGGATCTTATTTGGTCGCTCTTGGGAGAGGGGATGGGCGGCTTTGAGAGGTATTTGCCGCGTTGCGAAAAAGTTTTTCCACTTTGTTGAGTTTTCGTGATTTTCCCCGTTTCATATCCTCCCTGCTCGATGAAAAATTTTTTGGGTGAAAACAGGAAAATGTGGGAAATTGGTGTAGGTGTTCTGGGAAGGGGGGAGGTCGTACCGAGAATCTCTTTTGGGTGTGGGGGGGGGGTCCTACTGACAGCCACCATTTCACACTTAGGCAGCGTTCACACTTGTAGCGCTACAGCGTCGCGCTACAGCGTCGCGCTACAGCGTCGCGCTACAGCGTCGCGCTACAGCGTCGCGCTACAGCGTCGCGCTACAGCGTAGCGCTACAGCGTCGCGCTACAGCGTCGCGCTACAGCGTCGCGCTACAGCTGTAGCGCTACAGTTGTACCGAACTCCAGCTTTTATGTTTTTTCTTTCTATATCATCCTCTTCTCTTTGTTTCTCATATTTATCTGATAGTGAGCTCCTGTTTTCTACTTTATCACATTTTAATGTAGTTTTTGATACAGAAGACTGTGATAATTGGTTTTATTTATCGTTTTTGACTTTAATTATTTGGTTTCACAGTTGCTTGATGTTTGATGGCTTTGCTTGATGTCTTGCAGTGCTGCCTCGTTTTGATCCCGATTGCGAAACTACATTAAAATGTGATAAAGTAGAAAACAGGAGCTCACTATTAGATAAATATGAGAAACAAAGAGAAGAGGGTTGAATACAGAAAGAATGAATACAGAATCCAATGCCGCTTATGGATTATGGAGCGAAATCTGCTTTTCGAATTTGCCCCCAATCTCTGCCTGGATCACAGGAAAAAGATTCATGCCGGTTTTCGCGTTTTCGAGGCATTACCCAACAAAGCTTTGACAGCCCAGGAGCGTAAAAATGGCCTTATCTCCCACAACAGGCACGCGAACACTGTCTGGTCACCAATGCGTTAACACAAGGCAAACAAGAAGTTCCTTTATGGTTCTTGTGTCTCCGGTAAAAAACATGCGTGCGTGTTTTTAGGTGGCGCGAGTACTCTTTGGGTGTTTTTTGCAGAAAATGCTCTTAATAGGACAGAAGGACACTGTTACGCTAAAAGCAGTACCAGAAAAATAGTGACTAATGGAGTAACTGTCAAGGATGGTCAGATATTAGGTTGGCTAATAAGTAATGGCGGTTTTTTTCAATTGAAAAATTTGTTCCAAAAGTGAAAAGTTTTGCAAGCAAGCTTAATATCGTTTAATAGCAAACTTCTCGTAGTATTAGAATATCAAATTCAATTCAATTAATTCAACTATTAGCATGAAATTTCTAAATAGAGGCAGTTGTCGAAGATGCTAATTTTCGCCGACTTCATCCAACTTCAACGACTGAAAAATTCACAAAAACTATATCCTCAACCAAAGCTTTTTTGATATTCTTATACTACGAGAAGTTTGCTATTAAACGATATTAAGCTTGCTTGCAAACCAGTTCACTTTTGGAACAAATTTTTCAAATTTTTCAGTTGAAAAAAACGGCCATTACTTATTAGCCAACCTAATAGTTACAGCTGTATCAGTCTCACCTTTCCGTGAATTTCTCAAGAAAACTCCAGCAACCTTCCCACTTTTCTCTATAAGCAACTCTAATCATCCTAACGTTGGAAATTGCAGTACGTTGCGAAGCGGTGCTGTAGCGCTACGCTGTAGCGCGACGCTGTAGCGCGACGCTGTAGCGCGACGCTGTAGCGCGACGCTGTAGCGCGACGCTGTAGCGCGACGCTGTAGCGCGACGCTGTAGCGCGACGCTGTAGCGCGACGCTGTAGCGCGACGCTGTAGCGCGACGCTGTAGCGCTACAAGTATGAACGCTGCCTAAGGCTGCGTTTATACTTTGCGGCAGCGTAGCGTAGCGCTTCCGGCGTAGACTTAGGGCGAGTGAGACGCGCAATCGATGTGTTTTGTACCCTCCAGCTCTCCCATAGTCTCTACTCCCCTGCCGCTGCAAACGCTAGCAAAACGCTGGTGAAACGCTGGAGAAACGCTGGAGAAACGCTGGCGTAACGCTAGCGAACGCTAGATCGATATGCATCCTCTCCCCGGCACTGCCGCTGGCGTACGCTGGCTACGCTACGCTGCCGCAAAGTATAAACGCAGCCTAACGATGCTGTACACTGTTCCTAATAGTAGAATGTAAACGTTGGGTCTTCCAAAGTATTGCACCCTTTTTCAAACAAAATGATTGACATGATGCAACTATGGTAGACATGCAAATGTTAGATAGTGCAGCTTTAGAATGTCCGTAGCAAATGTTAGGCAGGACTTTAGATGACGCACGTTGACGAGCGAGGGCGTGCAGTAATGCGCTACAGTTGCAACAGTACTCCATGGCTATAGATGCAAACCAGCCGCTGACAGGAATCGAGGCACCGTTCGCTTGTCTGTTGGGAGTGTGGGGAGAAGGAGGGTACGAGCTGCCTAATCACGCACTCTTGAATCAGTGACCGCTTCGGCGTTGAGAGTATAAAGAAGAATGAGAAAGTACCGGATTGTATGGAGGAAGTGCTTGTCTCTCTGCTATATTATACTCCCTCGAAAGACCAGCGGCCGGCATCGATGGATTCTCGTCTGCTGCTGCATTCACGTCTGTAAGATCCTAGTTGTAACTGCAGTGCGTTGACGTGCGTTACAGCGCGTTACAGTGCGTCAACGCGTGTTATCACGAAGTGTGATCGGACGCTGATACGGTATTAGATCTGTGCAGGAAGATAAAAAGGCTGACTTGCACATCGGCTGACCCCCGCAAGTCTTGTATAGGCCACATCAAATTCAATAAGCCACTGCGATTTTGAATGAAAGTAGAACGTGTGTCGCATCCCAGTGGGGACTTACCAACAACGAAGACTATCCTATCGTATGAGGTCATCTCGTTCAAGAACGTGGACGCTTTTATTCCAGTAAAAGAGGGATATTTTGCTTTCACCTTGAGTAGATCTCTCTTGATCGATGACGCACATCCAGCACCTTCGTT